GCCAATAAGTCTTTGCAGTGTGATTTATAAGTTGATTGCTAAAATAGTGTCCAATAGGCATAAAACTATTTTGCCTAATTGCATCTCTAGTGCTCAGTCAGCTTTTGAACCTGGTAGGCAAATTCTAGATAATGTTATAATTTCCAATGAGTGTGTTCATTACTTAAACAGCAAAAGAAAAGGAAATTAGAATTTCATGGCCATTAAACTTGACATGGCTAAGGCCTATGATAGAGTGGAATGATCATTTCTTATTAAAGTCTGTAGGAAAATGGGATTCTGTGAAACTTTCATATCTTGGATACTTGCTTGTGTGTGCACTGCCTCCTATTCTTTTAATTTAAGTGGTTCTGTGCTTGGCTTTTTACAACCTACCAGAGGTCTGAGGCAGGGAGATCCTTTATCTCCCTACCTATTCATTATTGATTCAGAAGCCCTTTCAAATCTCATTAACCCAGCCAACAACTTTGGTCTTTTTCAGGGTTTAAAAATAGGTAGACATGCTCCTCCTGTAAGCCATCTATTTTTTGTTGATGACTCCTTATTATTCTATAAGCTGATGCTGATCATGCTTATCTTATTTGTGACATCCTTCTTCAGTATGGCTGTGAGTCTGGTCAAGCTGTGAATTTGGACAAATCTTCAATATTGTTTTCTAAAAACACTTCTGTTGGAACTCAGGACCATATCTGTGGAATTCTTTCTGGTATTAAGAGTGTTAAATCCTCTAGATATCTGGGTCTTCCATTAGGCATTGGTAGGTCTAAAAGAGAAACTTTCCAGTTTGTGAGTGAGTGTTTGAGAAACAAAATTTTGAGCTGGAAAAACAAATTTCTGAGTGATTCAAGGAGAGATATTATGATAAAATCTGTGTTGAGTGCCCTTCCAACATATGTCATGTCTTGTTTTAGAATTCCAGTTGATGTTCTCAAAAAAATCTGTGGGGATATGGCCAATTTTTGGTGGGTTAAGAATGAGCAGGGGGAAACATGATTCATTGGGTAGAATGGGATAAGATAGCTGGGTCTAAAGAGGATGGGGGATTAGAATTTAGAGATTTCAGAGCCTTTAATGAGTCTTTGCTTGTCAAGAAGTTGTGGAGAATCCAATCTTTCCCAAATCTTTTAGTTAGCAGAGTGCTTAAGGGGAGATATTATTGGGATAGGAGTCTGCTTGAAGCCCAAGCCAAGAATGGGGATTCTTGGCTTTGGAAGAGTTGGTTAGGTGTTAGGAAGACTTTTAGGCTGGGGGCTAGGTTTGAGGTAGATAATGGTAGGTCTATTAAAGTCGGAGATTCTCCTTGGATCCCTAATAATTCTGATTTCAAGCCTAAATGCTGCTTCTGGGGTGACATGGTCAGGGTGCAGAAGGTTAGTGATTTGATTAGGCAGGGGGTAGAGAGTGGGATCAGGATTTAATTCTCCAAACCTTTAATCCCTCTGATTCTGCTCTGATTTTAAAAATCTCTTTGTCTAGTCATAGACAGAGGGATAAGCTAATCTGGCACTGGAGTCCTAAAGGTGATTTCACTACCAAGGCAGTGTACCAGTATATTGTGCAGAACAAAGGTAGGGATCAGAATTTAGCTTCCTCTAGTGGCTCACCAATTTGGTGGAAAAAACTTTGGCAAAATACTTGGCATCTTTCTATTAAGCCTAAGATCAAATTCTTTTTATGGAAATGCTGGTATGGGTTTATAGGG